AAAAAATCGTGATTCTCATTTTATGCAAAATTGTGCAGCCCTATGTAGTAGTGTAGTCTACAACAGTGTTTGGTGTGATGCGTTACTAAGTAACGCGTTACTGTAATTAAATTACTTTTCCACTGAAAAAGTAGAGTAACTGATTACTGTTCATTTTTAGGTATTTTAATTACATTTACTTACAATGTACTTGCGTTACATTGTAGAATAATTAAACTCGCTGAATATCATTATTTAATTTCAATAATTTATCTTCTAAACGTAGTTGTAAACTCTGCCGCTTTAACATCGCTGTAGTGCAGGTGCACGTCATTTCGCGCCAGTTTGCTGCATAGTTGTATTCTAAAGCGGAAGATGTCGGACTCGGCTGAAGCGTGTGGCTGTTTTATGAAACGGAAATATTCCCGTCTCTTAACTTTTCTGAAACAAGCAGACAAGAACATTACAGTAATATGTAAGCTATGTCCTGGGGAGAAAAAAACTCAGCCGTTGTTAATAGCACGAGTAATCTACTGAAGCGCCTGACACAAGAGCATAGACGAACACTTCTGAGTGATCCTTGTTCATCATCCATGGATAACACCGCGGAAACTCCTGCTAAACAGGCAAAACTTGATTTTACTTCAGCAGCGCAGAAATTATCTGAAGGTGAGCTTAAAAAATGATTGCAGGCTACATTGTGGAAGAGATGCTACCGCTGCGTACTGTAGAATCTCCGTCTTTCAAAAAATGTATTTATTATTTAAAGAGTTTAATTTCTATTGTTTGTCCACTCAAGGTTTATATGGTTTTTAAAAAGTAGTTAGTTAAATTACTTATTGAGTAATTAAGTCACTTTTCTGACACAGTAATTAGATACGTATTTTAAATACAATATTGATTAAGTAATTAGTAATTAATTACTTTTTAAAGTAACTTACTCAACACTGCTACAACATGACAAAACAGACCATCCAACCTGAGTGTGCAATGATGTGCAAAGGCTTTAAGGTTTGAGTGCTGAGGTAATGAATCTCAGTGCTCCTGGATAAACACAATCCACTGTTGCTAAGGCGCATGTATATAAATAAAATCGCTATTATCAGACAGACAGAAGTTAGAGCAGCGAGGCTTTTTCTTGCCTCAAAAGAAATGCTGGGTTGAAAAAAAAAAAAGAAATTTAACCAAGAAAGTAGCATCTTCAGTTATTTATGTGGAGAAATTCCTGCTTTTTACTGTGACAGCAGTCCTCTTATCCTGAATTTGATGCAATATACAATAAAAATAGATATTGGTTTACACAGTCTGCAGTTTGTTTAGCAGTCAAACATGCCATGTAGGATATGTGCACTGAAAAAAACAGACAAACTCTAAGAGCAAATTCAATTTGTCTCACACAGATGGTTCTGCTCAGATAAAAAGGATTGACAACTCTCCAGCCTCCCCAGTGTTACTGTTTGCCATTGTGATGAAGTGTAGCAGATGCCGGTGTAGACTTAAATGGCACACTCTAGAAACCTTACTGTTAGAATTAAAATTTTAATGTGTTCATTACTATGTGTTTTTGTGTGTTTGTAAAATTGTAGTGATCATGAAGGAGGCAATGTCAGTGCTCACACTAGCCACCTAGTGGGGAGTGCCCTGTCTGACCCCTACCTGTCCTTCAGCGCTGCCATGAATGGTTTGGCCGGTCCTCTCCATGGCCTGGCCAATCAGGTTAGTAATGCACAGATCATCATTTTCATTCTGTTTTCACACTGAGAGATTTGATAGAAACAACTTGGAGATCCCAGGTTAATCCCCCATTCATCTTTTTATAAAGAAAGCATTTTTACTAGGAAGACTGCAGTGGATATTATGTGATAATGATTTTTATTTCAGTCAGTTTATTACAATTGTTCCAAAAACACTACATACAACACTTTAATTATTTGATTTTTACCAAAAAACTAAGAAATCTGATGAGGAAAAAAACTGAAAACAAGTTTAATGTGTAGTTTAATGGTTGGTTCATAATAATTTAATGCCTTTATAATCTCATAGATCTCTTCTGTAGCATATAGATGGGTTAGAGTTTATTTTGCCATACCTTCTTACTAATATTAAAGATGACCGAGTTCTGCTAATCAGCTTTACTGTCACAGGCCTGGTATTCTGAATACTAGCTTACTGTCACATTGTCACAACACTTGATTAAAACGGATCATTAATTTATTAGACACTTCTGTGTTTTTAATCACACATCAAAATATCCACTGTGGTAGAAGCCTTTTTTGAAACAACTTTGTCACCTTTGTGCCAACATGGCAACATAATCATTGAGGACTTGGCTGTTTTTTGGTCAGTGCAGTAGACAAACACTAAAGGTGAAAATGACAAAGAACCAAGAGTTCAGAGTCAAACTGCTGTGGTGCTCAATTATAAATATTATTTTAGAGTTCAATAACGTTCACAAAGCACTGTTTGATTACCAGCGCCCGAGGGAAGGTCTCCCCTCCTTTTATTAGCTAGCAATTTGTCAAAGCTGCTTCTACCTCTGCCAATAAATTTTGGCATCTGTTTAATTACTATCCATCCATTTTCTTAAGTGCTTATCCAATTATAGTGACAGGGGGGCTGGAGCCTATCCCTGCTTCATTTATTTATTAGCTACTTAACTAGTTAAATACAGTCATATGATATGACCAACTATTATGAGCAGTTGTACAGTAACCTATGATTTTAGATTAAAATGTTTATAATGATTTTTTCTTTCAGTTTGCGCTTTGCTCACATATTTGACATATTGACACTTAAAATGAGTTTTGGTTTGATTTCAAACACAGTGCCAACAAAAATACAGCAGAAAATTCACTTAGCTTATGAATGTGTGTTTTGTTTTGTCTTGTTTTGTGGGTTTTTGCTGCACCTACAGGAGGTACTGGTGTGGCTGACTGCTCTGCAGAAGGAGTTGGGAGGAGAGGTGTCTGATGAGAGGATGAGGGATTATATCTGGAACACACTCAAGTCTGGAAGGGTAAATAAGCACCACATCCGCAAACAAACAACTCTAGTTATTATTATGACTTCATTTTCCACTCTCACTCATTTTCAGAATAATACTTCTGGGGATGTCAGGGGTCCAGTTGTTTCTACCAGAAGTTACAGCTAGATTTAGGAACCTTTGGAGGAGCTCAAACCAGATTCTTTATTAAAAGAAAAAATTAACACTTTAAAAAGTCCCTAGTGGGCTTTTGTTGTTTTCTAAAAGAGTAGAAACTTTGGGCATGAGGCTTTCTGCATTGAACATTTCTAATTGGTTCTAATCTCCCTAAAAGTGTGTGAAACTGTTAGGACCCCATTGTCAAAGCAGTAACTCGAAAGCAACATCAACACAAGTTGCTTATTGTTGTTGCAGTGTTGTCACTTTATATGGCATCATTGTTTTTTATATAGTCTTCCTTCACCTACAGGACTAAGAGGAGTAGTTGATTTAATGTTGGCACAAAGAAAGTTGTGTAATTACAACAGTTTGGGGGTTTTTTTGTTTCCAAAACCAAGAAATTGCTATTATTACAATTTTTATAATTTACTATATTTTACACCTGATTTACTCTGACCTTCATCTAAACCTTCAAATTCTAGTTTGATTTACCGATTAACTAAATTCTGTTTTTGTCTTTAATAATAGGTTAAAATTGTTAATGTATACCATAAAGAATTTGTAAAATAATAGTATTTGAGCACAGATAGAACGGTGTTGATGTCACCTAACAGCAAGTGGTTTTACATGTAAGTTCTGCACCTGGTTGGTTTCTTCTGGTTTTGTTCCCCAAAACATGCATGCTAGGGTAATTAGTGATTGTAAATTGACCCTATGGGTGTGTTTAAGTTCTTAATGCGTTTCTGAAGGTCTCGTGAGTACTTAGTTGTCAGAGAGACTAGAAGAGTGCACTGTCAGGTTAAAAATGTTGGTTTCTTGGCTGTAGGTGGTTCCAGGTTATGGCCATGCTGTCCTAAGGAAGACTGATCCACGTTATACCTGCCAGCGTGAGTTTGCCCTGAAGCATCTGCCCAGTGACCCCATGTTCAAGATGGTTGCCCAGCTTTACAAGATTGTACCCAATGTGCTCCTGGAGCAGGGTAAGGCCAAGAACCCCTGGCCCAATGTAGATGCTCACAGTGGAGTGCTGCTGCAGGTAAGACCTGGGATTATAATCATGCATTTGTTATCTAACTGAAATAATCACAGATGCTGAAGTAACTGACTGCTTTCCTGTTTGTGTGTATGTTCAGTACTATCAAATGACTGAAATGAACTACTACACTGTGCTCTTCGGTGTGTCCCGTGCTCTCGGCGTGCTGGCCCAGCTGGTGTGGAGTAGAGCCCTGGGCTTCCCCCTGGAGCGCCCGAAGTCCATGAGCACAGATGGACTGATGTCTCTGGTTGGAGCAAAGTCAGGCTGAAGCACCAACCTGGAAGTAGCTGTGGGTTAGTGTTAAGGGTGGGAGGAGGTGGAAACATCAAAAAGCAGACATAAGTTGACCCCTTGTCATTTCCAACCCCAGGGATTTAGAGGATTCAAAGAGACAGTATGCGTTTAATGCCATTTCACAAAAAAAGGGCCTTTTTAAATTGTCATAGCATTAGTCTTCAAGTGTGTTTAGTTAATCACTGACAGGCTTTCCAATCATGTCTCTCTATCTAAAACATGAGCAGAACAAACTTTATATATGGCCACGGTAGGCTCAAACTACCTACCACTTTTAGGTCTGCTAGCATTGCTAAGATTTCCCCTGAGCGGTGCTTCTCATTGGACACTGGGTCTAAACTAAGAATAGGTAGTGGCATTCAAAGGGAATTGTGCATTTCCTTTGTATTTAAGCTTCTACGTTTAAAAATCTGACTAAATCTTTTTGGCCAATACAGTGATGTGTTGTAGAGGATACTTCCAAGCAAAATACAGTTTTGTCACACAGCTCTAATTTTATTTTTTCGTCTATGCAAAGTTGTCATCCCACCCAGTTGATCGATGCGTTTCACTCCCACTTATGAACACTCCAGTGTAACGGGAAAAAAAGGTCCTCACTAGTAAAAATCCTAGAAAGCCGTTTAAGAAAAAATATTTGTTTAAAGACACTGCCCCTTTAAATCTCTGGTCTCTTTTTTTTTTTTCTCTCTCTCTCTAACTTGTAGTTTTTTCTTTTTTCTAGATGACCTGTAATACCTCTATGATCAAAATAACAGTCTTTATTAAAATTTGTTTCCTTGATCTTATTTTCCTCAAAATAATTTCCTATTTTTTTAATGGGTTTCTTATATTACGAATCGCTGAGAATCAGGACTAATGAAGGTAATTGATACAGATTTGAGCAAAGGGTGTTGTAACTGGCAACCTGTAGGGAATCCTTAAGAGCAAGCTTGAATAAAAACAGGATGGGAGGGGGGGGCTTTGTAGAGTTTTGTTTTGTTTTTAAGTCTTCTTTTATTTGACTGTATGTTCATGTCTTTATCCCAGCAGTAGAGCACTTCAAATAACAATTGTAAAGTTATGATGTATTTGATTGGATTTCCTAAATTGTAACAGTAGAAAATCTCCCCCCTTTTTTTCTTTTGGTGTTAAATGATGTATGAAAATATATTTGGGTTTGAATTTTGTTGTTGTGGTTTTATTTATACTCTGTGTACATAGGTATATATATGTATAGCATTAATGTATGAGCTGTAAGCATTCACTTGCTGCTTATAACCACAATGAGCACCACAGTTTACCAGCAGTGTAGTCGTGCCCACTATATGTCCAGTTTCGCTGGTCACTGTGAATTTCTGACAATGAACAAAAAAAAAAACAACTGCAGCTATCTTCTGTATATAGAGTTTATTCCCAAGCTCTGTTTCCTCAGCTGGTGCTGTATTTCAGGTATTTCACTTGAATGTGTCAAGCTTGCTCTTAAGTTCTGGGTTTCTCAACACTCCATTTTTGTCTAGTTAGAGTTCTTGCGTATTTCCTCCTAAGAATACTCTTTAACGTGTTCGCTCCGATACTTGATTCTCTCTGCTCTGCTCTTCTGGCTTTTTCGGGCACGTGTTTTGTGTTTTATTGTAGCGTTCTTCCATTTGGCAGGTTGTTCAACAGATGTGGTTATTTTGATCGTAGAGGAGCTTAAGGGTTGTAACTGGGGGGAATCATTAGAGAAACACTTGGGGGCGGGGGGACAGGGCTGGATGGGTCAAATGGGCAAGAAAAGCTTGAAACAACTATTGGAAAACCTTAGAAATAAATGAAAAATAAAGGTTTTTATTAACACTTGTTTGGTCTCATTTTCTTCATAAGTGCTTGAAAAAGAAATTGTGATGTAATTCCAGGTCCAGTTACATGTAACCTTTGAAATTACCAGGATTTCTGAAGTGATTACCCAAATGCTCTATACCCTCCTTGTAATACACAAACACAGTCTCACAAAACGCTGTCTTTTAGCCATTGCTAACAGTTGTTAAGCTTTCACGATTTAAAAAGGACTGAAATAATAGTTAACAATCATTATTAATGGCTGTGGGGGAAAAAAAATTTTAACAATTAAATTTGCACTTGTTAGATACCGTATTATACACTTACTGGACACTGTTAGTTACACCCTGCTAGTACCAGGTTAGACTCTTGTTTTCATTACTGCCTTACTTCATCATGGCATTTAGCAAGATAGTGGAAATTCTTTTTGTCCATATTTACATGATAGCATCACACAGTTGCTTCTGATCTGTTGGCTGTACATCTATGATGTGAATGTCTTTGACGTTTAAACGATACTCAGTTGGTACAGTTGGAATCTAAACTGGGCTGAGGAAAATATCACTCATAAGGTTCCAGCAACAGCCTGAACGGTTGATACAAGCCAGTGTGGAAGCATGCTTTCAGGCTGTTTATACCAACAGCAATGGAAATTCATCAACCCAACATTCAGTCTACTGTTTTCCAGTTATGGTGAGCCTCAGTTTTCTATTATCTGACCGGAGTGGCACCCAGTGTGCTCTTCTGCTGCTGGATTCTATCGGATCCAAGATTTGTCAAGTGTCTGTGAAGGTTCTCAGTCATCCAGGTCATCGTAGTCTAAGGAGCTTGCAAAGACAAAACTCCTAAACACTAACTTAACAAGGTAGTGTATGCTCTACAGTGCAGCGAGGAATGCTCAGACCTCTACATCGGAGAGACCAAACAGACACTTCATAAAAGCATGGCACAACATAGAAGAGCCACCTCCACAGGACATCTGCATCTAAAGGAGGATGCCAGTGTTCCCATTTTGGACAGAGCAGAAGGATGGTGTGAAAGAACCCATCTATGTCAACTGTGAACGGCCATCTTTGAACAGAGGCGGTGGTTCACCACACCAACTGTCTGCCATCTATATTTTTATATTGACATCCTTTGTTTTGTTCCTACCTTTTAAGTTTCTTGGTTAGGTTAAACTACCGTAAGGTGTTAACTGATGCCTTAATGCCCACTCACATCCTGGGCCATTTGACCTCAATAAATCACATGATAGGGTGGGGATGGGTTTCACAATGGATTCACCTGAAACCTTGGCTGACTGTGAGACACACCCGTTTTCAGACCTTGGACCTTGTGATTAGGTAGAGGATCAATAGAGGGTCCATGACCCTCTTGCGGACACTCCCATAGGGCTTAAAATCTGGGACTCTCCACCAATTGCGCTTAGAACTGAAGAAGCTTCTCGGATGAAAGGTGAAACATCTTCAAGACAAAACTTAAAGAAAAGAAGTCCAGACGCTTTTGTTTCCAAGCTCCTTAGACATTTCATTTTGTTCCCCATTCAGATGCTTGACTGGAGCATCACAAGTTCATCTTGACCATGCCATGCATGCCTAAATGAATTGAGTTGTTGCCATGCGATCGGCTGATTAGATATTTGCGTTAAAGAGCAGTTGAACAAGTGTACCTAACATTCAGGAGCAAATGTAATAAACAGTGAATATAACAGGACCAAAACTGCATTCTCCAGCTTCAGTCTGGTGATTTACACCCTTACCTACCTACTTATTATCTATTTAAACAAGTATTAGACTTTACACTTGCATCCAAATAATTTTTGAAAATGCTTTACACAGTAAATATTAGCAGTTTACTAAGATGTATAAACATAATTTGCATTTTTATAATAACCAGATAATGATCTTCAAACCAATGAATTCATTAGTAAACCTTATGTCCATTTGTTAACAGCAGTTAATTTCCCTTATTGTGGACTTTGTGTGTCGCTGTAATGCTCCTGATTCAAAGACCATTCACACTGAGCAATCTATACTGAGAACATCACTTCTTGTCAGTTCACACACTTTGAATGCCTTTATTTATAGGAAGGGCACCTCTTCAACTCACACTTCCAAAATGAGATCCTTAGCTGGAACACTTGACCTCAAAACTCACTTCTCCTTTTGGAGAAGCTGTTCCACAGAGGTTTACCTTTTTCCATCTCACACTGTGTGGTTATTTAGTGTGGACCATAAAATATGAAAAGCATAAATATTTAAAGACGTTGAACTTGTCAGCTGTTGTGACTTTAGATTAAAAAAAAAATATTTTATGAGTGATTAGTGCTACTTGATAACTTCAAAGGGATTACAGACTTTTTTTTTCTTGCAATGGTGTGTGGCATTTCAAAATGATTTATGACAGTGACAGGTGAGGTCAGTTAGGTAAATTCTCGTCATGTTTGTAACATGAGGATGATGGCACAATGTAAAAAAAAAATGTATTTACACTGTAAACTTTGAGTAATTTTCTCTTTCCGATGAGACATACAGCTCTAGGCAAGAGTGTAAAGAAGTGTTTGAATTCAAAAACCAGATACAAAACCTGCTCATTTAAGAATATCATGATCATCAATGATTCCTGTTGTAATGCTCCAATTTCAATTAGTCTTTATTCCATACTGTGATCATGAGAAGAAGATGGTCCAAATGCCCACCTCTCCTATGTGCTGTTATTAATAACTGGCCCAAATACCATCATCCCACTCTGGTTTCTTGCTGGTCAGCTGAGCTGTGCCACTCTTTCCACTCCACTTGTGCAACAAAGGCAACCAATGCTAAGGGACATCAACTCAATGCCATCCTCTGGAACACAAGCTCAGTCTAAAAACGGTACCTGGTGTCATCTAAATGCATTACAACGCAGCTGCTGCAAGTGAAGGACACAATGCTCAAGCACTAATGCAGGTATACCTTCAGGAGTCGGTTTTGTTTTTGTTTTATCAATCACCTTTAAAAAAAAGCACATACGCAAAATGTGACAGCTCCTTTTTATTTAAATACAAATTTAAAATACACCGATATTTACATAGATACATTTTCTGCTTGCAAAAAAAAGCAACTGAAATCCAAAACAGTGAAAATAATTTTGATTGAAGCAACAAGTGACTGATATTTATTTATATCTCCTTTTATACATACAAGGCTGCCTGTATTAAGACCAGTGGTCATTAATACGCCTGCAGCATGAATATTGATGTGGAAATGTACAGAGGGGTCGAAGGGTTACAATAATTTCAAGTGAACCCTTTATGCTCATCTGGACTGTACTAGAGTAGCTTTTGCATGAGTCACAGTTCATTTATCAGTTCATCTTATACTACAGCTTGGTGCAGCCCCTCAGTTCATCCACTGTCTGAAATAACCTGTTTTAGTTCCTCCACCTTTCTGATTGGGCAGCCTTTACAAACAGGAGGTTAGAACAGCAGGTGGGCGGGGCTTCTGAGCTCATAACCCAAGCAGTGTGCCTGAGATAACCACTGTCACTGACATCATATAGTGCAGACAGTAGAAAAACCTGCCTGGAACCTGAGCGTTTGGCTCACAGGCATTACTTGTGCATACGCTGACCTCATTATGTTCAATTTTTGGCATATTTAATACGAGCATTCACTATTATAAGAATCTATATGTATATGTCAGGAAATCAAGAAAAGCATAATAGGCTAATTCGGAAAATATTTCTGTTTACACTGCCCCTTCTTTTCCAATAAGGATTGGCACTTACAATGAAAAACAAACTCCCTCTGTAATACACTTAAAGACAAAAAAAACTTGAGTAAAGATGAATTCTAATGTGATGCAATGTTAAAAACACGACACAAAATTTTCATTAACATTATTTATAATTATGTTAGTCCACTTTGAGTCTGGCAATGGTAGGACCATCTTAAATAAAACTACAGTTAATGCAATACTTTTGTTAAACTAAGAAAAGAAAAAAAAAAAAAGACGCTGGAACTACACTTCAATCATATCTTGATTGTGTACTATCAAAATTTGAAAAGAAGCAAAGGCCAAATTGCAACATAATACACAAAAGTGGTATTCAATGATTTTACCTCAAACCATTTTTAAATGTATTTATTTATTTTATTTTATTTTTTAAATAGTAACAGTGATTCTCAGACTGAATACGCCTGTATTGGGTTTTGATGACTCATTTTTCCTCAATTCCCAAATCACTTTACTAACCAAAAATAAAACAACATACTTCAGTTTCACAAAAATACGAAAACACCTTTTAGGTTTACTGGACCATTTGGACAAAATGAAACATTTTTCACAGAGAAGGTCACACTAAATTACTTCTTTAGCAACTTACGAGTCACCTTTAAAATGTAGCAAAATACAATCAGTTACCTTTAATAGCCCTTTATCACAGAATACTGTGAAAGGGCTGCTTGATTTTAAATTTAAGTCAAGTCCTGACAATGCAACACATAAATGCTACAAATATATTTGTCTTTGTTACTTATATCCATGCATCAAAATGTGTGTAAAGATAAGCCGAAATGTCAACAAATAAGCATGAAACTCATTGATAAATAAGTAATGTTTTATTCTACAGCCCACCGCTACAATTTATAGATAGATGACTCGAGTGTTTCATCCTCCGGATCACCTTCAAACAATCTAAACACAAAACAGCCCACTAAGCAAGGACACACCTACATTTTTTAAACTATAACCTAAACTGACTCCTAACAGTTAGAATCCACATAACATGGCAATGTTTAGTTATTTTTGATCCAATTACAATATAAGCCACATTCAAATCACAAGAAGCCATTTTAATTTCCAATTCTTCTTTTGTTGTTAATCGATCATAAAGATAATTTTTGAGTGTAACATTGTACTCTTCTTACATTCTTTGTGATACCTTTTACAGTACTGCAGATTTTTCAGTTTCAACAGGGGTTCTTGGTTGTGCTAATTCTTATTTCCCCACCTTTACTAACTGATACTAGTGCTGGGCTGTAAAACAAGGCAGTATTAAAACTACTATGCTAATTTTTCTTTTTTAACGTTCTAAAGCCCAATCCTCACAGCATCCAAGTTAAAGTGACATTTCTCAAATCCTAGCATACTGAGGCCACAGCTAATTTTCCTCCTTTGCACTTCATACTAACCTACAATAATGCTCTTATAGCATGGCACTGTCAATATGAGCCCCTATAAAACTGGTTGAAAAGTGCTGCTGAATAAATTAAAGAACTAAAAGCAATATTATTTTGCAGCAATACCAGTACTTTATTTCAAACTATATATTACTATTTCCATTTGAAATGAAGTCAATGCTAAGTGTAAAAGCAAAGAATGTGCTTTCCCAATATATTAGAGCTGAAGTTCACTTGATAGTAGTAACCTCAAGTTACAGTGAGACAACTGCTTCGGCAAAAGGGACTGTGTCTTATAGAAAAACCGAAGTTTAAGTTTAAAGTAATAACTGAGTGTCCAGCACAATGTAACAATGCTGCGATGACTTACTGTTCTTTCTGCTAAACAAGGATCTGGAGGTAGACAGAAAATGGACAAACATAACACAATGAGAAGGGATGTGAGCAAAAATTTACTAAGGCAGGAATTACAACATTATGTTTGCAAGCGTTAGATGCGCTACACCTTTGGTAGCCGCTATAACATCTATGAAGCAGTGGAGATTTGATGTAGTGGCCTGCTAAGCCACATCATGCAAGTTTATTGAGGGAATAAACAGGGTACGGTTTAAGGCCAGATGAAGACGTACAGTTGCTGAGATCACGTCTGATGCACCTCATGAAACATCAGCTCTCGTGGGATGCGAGTCTCTGGGCCGTAAAGCTTGCCGGCTCGCCGCTCGAATGCAGCAACATTCTGCTTTACCACTTCATCGAAGAACATGGTGGCTAACTGTGAGTGCAGCAAAGAGCGGAACTCGAAGGATATCTGTTAAACACACAGAAACATAATGATTTAGTTTAAAGAAATACGGCAAATATATATAGTGGGCATGATAGGTTAAAGCTAAGCTCATTTGTGTTCTTGCAAAGATATCAGATGAGATTGGAACACAGTTAGCTTAGCATAAAGAGTGACAAAAGTGGAACGAAGCCAGTCTGATGGTTAAAAACAAAAAAACAAAACAAAACAAAAAAAACCCACAACAACAAAAAAACCCAAACAAACAGCTGACTGAAAGGTTTCCTGCAGAAATAGATCTTGTTCTGGTGGCATTTCCTTTAACTTGCAGTTAAAGAGGGTGGAGCTGGAGTTTGACCACAAGACAACAAACCCTTTAGAGAGAGTGAAACGATAGTGGCCACTGCTAGTCTTCAGCCAAAATGAACAAATTAGACAGGAAGAAGGGGGCGGGAGCTGCTGATAAGAAGCAACTGACCTTTTAAAATAAGAAGTTGGAGACTGCCAACCAAACAGTAAATCATCTCTTGAATAGATATAAATTAAAAGTGCGATATAATTGGGTAGCTGCTGTTAAACCTAGGAGGCTGACACAAGTAAATCAAATGTTTGGGAAACACTTCCACAGGTGGTCTCTCTTCCTTCATCTTGTTCACTGTAGATGAAGGAAAAACCACACGTAACCACTCATAAAACCACAAAGTGTAATTTTTACATTTGTGCTTTTTCACAGCATAAAAAAAAAGAAACATTAACTAATGAGCATGAATACAGACTTTAATGATATCAGTCTTCTGATGTATCATCTATCCCATGTGGTGTTTAGTACACACAAGCAGTTAAAGTGAGCTACAGGCTAAAGTGAGGCACAGGCTACTTACAGAAAAGTCTACGGTGCAGGTACGAGGGTAACCGGGAATGCCAGGACTAAAGCGCCATATCGTCTCCAGGTGATTGAAGAGCTTTCCATCTGTACACACTGCCTACAAATAACCAAAACAAAGACAATAATTAAAAGTTGTAAAACACAGAAATTGTGTTTCAGTCATATAGTTTATATATAAACAAATTCTAGCAACAGATGGAGCATTAAAAATCACATATCACAATTCAAAAAGACTGGGATAATATTTCTCTACCATTACTTACTTTGACTAGATGAGGTCTAACATTAGTGATCATAGATGTGTATCTTTCCACTACTGGAGGAAATCCCACTTCAAGCTGGGCTTTGGAGTGACCTGCTCTTTTCATGATGGTCTGGGACTTCTTACACCAAGGCACAAAGTGCTTGTACTCATCAACGTTGGCCACAACATCATACATTTCCTGCATAGAATACCTGTAACAGGAATATCCTTTTAATTAAATTTTTTGTATTAATGATCAAATTTATGATTATAAAAAGGCTCATCAATACTTACCCAAGTATTCTACGTTCAGAGTACTCCTTCCTTTTGTTGGTGAGGCTGATGAAGCTTCTGCTTTGGGAAACCGCTGTCATTGTGTCACAATCTTGAAGGCAAAGCACCCTGGGACTTCTTGTCATCAAAATTCCACATGACGACAAGTGTCTGGAAAGGTAATTAGAATCTGTGTTGAAGTGATGTGCCATAAGCCCCCATCTAGAAAGAGTGCAGTCTGCAACAAAATAGGTCCACTACTTTCCAGTTTCAACAGTCAGTGAGTGCGCAGATGGACCAGAGAGTTATGAAAGGTCAGTGGTGAGAGCATGCTGGTATTTTCCACGTCTGGTCTTTTTTTGTGAATAGCAAAAAGCTGTAAGGTGACACCTACCTGCTCTGGTTGAACAAATTAGCTTTGTGCTTTCTGGAAGCTAGCCTTTAGGATAGGGGTGAGCAACATTTTTTCTCATACTGAGAGTTAAGGATCAAACTAAATAAGCAAATTAAAATATTGCTGTATCAAATTACGACACGAAACATTAGATCTATGTGAATAAAATATTCCACTTAAATGAAGCACCAGTTTTCAAGTTTTTATATAACTTTACCATAAGACATCATAGGTTATGACAGAATTTGTTTGCCATTTGTTGGAATCAAGTTAAACAGCAGTGAAGCAGTGATTTATTTTATTCTTTCATCTAAAGACCCATTAACACAATGTTTACCTCGATCAAGGTCAACCTGATCAAATGGGTTGTGATCACTAGTTAATGCAAGTGATTATGTGTGTGTGTGTGCTTCCCAAAACATGAAAACATTCATTCATTAAGTCAATACATCATACTATTCACTGCTACCACAAACAGGCTGTTTTGGAAACTGTTCTCCACATTTTGGAAACATGTTATCCATTATGGATAAGCCCCCCAATTTTTTACACCATTCTTCAGGTCTTATTTTCAGCAGTTTACTTATGGAATAAAATAACTGTGGGTATTCTGTAATGTTTATATTTCATGCATGAAAGGACAAAGTTGAGTGGTTTATAGTTGTGATTTTACAGTTATGTGAAGTCAATACAACAGTGCAAACGTAGTTAATATCCTTCTTTATCAAGTTAGCTTCTTGTAATTTGTTTTGTATAACGATTAACTTGCTTGTTTTCATTTATGTTTATGCATGTATTCTACAAAAACATTAAAGAAGACTGGACTGCAGAACCCATGTCGAAGGCAGTTGTTAACAGCTGCCTTTACCTGGTGAGACAGTTCTAGTTATTGGTAGTTCTGTTACACTAATCAGCAGTTGCTTCTCAAATGGAGGCTGGTCACACTTTAAAGATAAGAAACCAGAATTATGGAGCTTGATAACATTATCTAGTGACCTTCTCGTTATATATCGTCCGCCCTCAGTGGCGGCAGAGCGTCAGTTCCTCTGTACTGAATGACCAGCTCGGTGCTGTTAACCATAATAATAACAGCCTCCAGTAACTCCCCGACGGGCTCACCTGATGTTTTGTCGCAGGCATCCTCTTTGCACCGCCGTGCGACACGAGCGAGGGGATCCCACAGTGGCGATCTGGAGAAAGTCACTGAACGTCCGAACACCCATGGGTAATCTCCGGGCACCGGTCGAGGCTGCCATCAAGTCAGCCTCTCCGCTTCAAGAGAGGGAGATCCTGGGTCTGTCGAGCTAGCCCGGGGTCTGCTTTAAGACCGAGGGCACAGAGATTCAAGGGTCCAGTCCAACCTGCACGCTGCTTCGGTGCGGGTATATTAATGAACACGTAGCGTTAGCACAGCCGCTTTCCGAACTGCGAGCGTAACTATCGTTAGTTACGGCAGTCAGCTGCTAACGTTAGCTAGCAAGATTTCCAACAGCCCAACCAATCACGACGTATGGCTACGTTCCGCTGTTTTTTTAACGTAATACTCACATTACTCCACGCGTCGAGTTCCAAACTTCAAACAAAGTTAAATTATTTACGTCACTTTCTGGCTATAAATATTGCCAAACTGCTGCCAGCTGCGAACGACCTTCTGCTACTAAATAAAACGCCGGTGGGACAAATTGTTCCTTTCTTCTGTCATCGATTCTGCCCAACAGCTCTGAGAAGAAATGCCGCCCCCTACTCTACAGGAGGTTAACGGCGGGGAAAAATATTTTTATTTTGTTTTATTTTATTTTATTTAACTTACGAAAGCACTTTTATATTAGTATAAAAGTATATATGTATATATATATATCCTGAACAAAATGCCGTGAGACTGTATAAACAGGGTTCAAGTATTTGTTTGTTTGTTTTGTTTTTAACTTTGATTAAAATCTCCCCTAAAGAAACACAGTTAATATTTTACAAGTTATATTTCTCTTACATTTTTTATCCAATAGCCCACATATATGTGGACGACAACAGTAGGGATGTGTGTGGTAGGAGTGGCAGATGGGATGAAGGTGGGGGTGGGGTTCTGAGATCTTTCTTTTTTGCATTGGTGATGGACAGGTTGACAGATGAGGTCAGGGAGGAATCTCCAGTCTTCCGTGGAATATGTTGTTTGTGGAAGACATCTGTAGTCTGAGTAGGAAGCAGATGGGGAGTAGCACTGGAGAGAAGAAGAATGAAAGTCAGTAGAAGACAGAACACAGTGTGTGAATGCGATAGAGACAGTAACAGTGAAGCTGCAAGGAACAGAGGCAGTGAAGGCGAGAACGATAACAGAGGGGAGATAGATCACGTTTAAAAAACAAAGGTCCTCAAGCTAAATAAAAAATAACAGTCAATAATTTCTAGGCTTATTTTACTGTTTACCATTGTAGCCTTTTTTTTCTTTTTCTTTTTTTGCTGTCGCTTTATCAACTCACTATAACAAATAAAAAGAATAAAAACAAAGTGACAACTCGTGAAAAAAAAGTAGCAGTGGATCATTTATTACTAAAGAACACTTTGTTCCACAACAGTAACTGATGTTATAGGGGACGAATATCCAGCAAATCTGGATATTTAACTTGATCTTAATTATTACGCCCAAGGCCTACATTACTTTTTTTTTATCTGTGATTTTTCACTTCAGTTTCACTCTCACACATGGAAATGGAAATGTCTTACTTTTTATTGGCTCTAGTTTTACAAAAAGTAGAACTCCCTTTAATTGAAATGGAGATTTGCATGGATATGGCTCTGCAGTGACAGCCAAAAGCCAGTTAGCGGGTAGAACAATATGATGGAATGAATGTTTTAAGTTATAGTGATAGAAAAGGGAATACATGACTAATCAATGCGATAAAGTGTTATTGTATTTAACCTGTAACCACCACAGATGGTGTTTTGGGGGGTTTTCTTCAACCGTTGAATAAAAAATCCCCCAAACCCCCCAAAATAGAACACTTTTACCATAATTCAAAATTTTGGGATAATATCTCAAAATGTCAGGTTATTTATTTATCATAAAGAGTTGGCTACTATTTCAAAATAACTCACAATTGAGAAATTTACTTTAAATTTTGAGTTCTTAAGTCAAAAGTTTGAAATAACCTGAAATTAGTGGAACTTTTTTGTTTTTCAGTGGTTGGATTTTTTTTTCTTGTGTCATGCAGAGCTAAGTCGAAATTTCGACTTACTGAGTAAGTTAACAGAAATTTTAACTTGTAGGTTCCAAGTTTAAAAACATTTTTTTTCGGTGGCAGAATCAAGTTTCCATGCCACAGACGTCACACCGCCGGGCTGTTTTACCGTTCTTTTGCCGCACGGTGTCGCCATTTTACCCGAGGAGACGAAAACAGACCGCCACGCCTGTAGGCGGACCCGCACAGTCGTAGCCAGTATCAGCAGACCAGACACTGGATACAGACAACAACAGTGACAGACCGAGACCGTATTTCTGTTTGCAATCAGCTATGGGTGTAGTCTAAGAAGAGAACACAGTAGCGCACCACAATATACCTCGAAGTTTTATCCTCATGAAGGAGCTCCGTCCTGGTTGAGTTTGGGAGATGGGAGTACTCAATATTGCAGACCAGGTACGCTGGAAGAAAGCGCTCCGTATTTGTGCTGTGGCGCAGTCTATTTGCTGGGAGAGACTCTGCTCTTGTGCGCAACATACTACGTCTTCTCCGCCGAACGGCTTGCTTTCATTATTAGCTCGCGGCGGGTGCATGCATATTTAGCCGGATATTCGCATGGTAATGGTATTATTTGAAAAGATTAGCAATCTTCGTCTTTTAAATGTTAATCTGTGAGGGTTTTTTTGTTTTATTTTTTTGATGGTGTAGTTTAGGCCCTGGTCTGGGTCAGGGCCAGCTCTGTTGCAGAATTAGCTAACAGAAGCCATTTGGCTAGCTGACGTAAGTAAAAATGGCCTATAGGCCTCAGCCAAAGGCTTGGTGTATCTGCTGGAAGCAAACAAGAAATCCATTCAGTTACACACAGTAAAAGTATTCAGTGAAACATTTAATGTCACGGGAGTACATTTAACCTCTCCACTGCGCAGTTGACGGCTTTAACGATGGTTTAACCTCCTCAGATGAGACGTAGATGATGTGTGATGGTCGTATAAGAGTCAGCGCTCCGGCTGCACGTAATTTTTTGCAACGTTATTTTTTGCGGTAATTTGACTGATGTTCCTGTATTGCAGCCTCCTCTGGTCCAGGCCATCTTCAGTCGCAATGCTGAAGAAGTTCAACTATTATTGCACAAAAAGGAGGATGTCAATGCACTGGTATGAAGCAGATTCAGTTACCATGATCATGATTTTGAAGGACGTTACCCCCCCAAAAAATACCTTTTAATTTTTTTTCCCCCCGCATATCAGGACCAAGAGCGTCGTACGCCACTTCATGCTGCTGCCTGTGTGGGAGACGTCCATATAATGGACCTCCTCATTGAATCAGGTGACTGAATTGCGTCCATCTATTTGTGCATTAAGTATTGGTCACCTCTGTTAGCAAGTAATCCTAACACCTGATCATTGTTCCACAAAAATAAGCTTGCTCATTCTTGGCTCTCTCGACCTCTGTATCACCTGAAATATAATTAAAATCTACTATGTAATATAGTATGTAATAGTGTTTCTGTTTCTGTATCACAGGTGCCAGTGTAAATGCTAAAGACCATATATGGTTGACCCCCTTGCACAGGGCAGCTGCTTCCAGGAATGACGTAAGCAATGTATTTCCTTTTTTTGTTTAAGACTGATGATTTCCCAGTCAGATGACCTCATCATCTAAGTCTTTTATGTATTAATTTACAGAGATTATAATTCTTATTTAGACTTACACACTCATGAACTGCACTAAATTAAATGTGGGAAGCTGCAGATGTGATATGCACCTTAAGCTGTGGTGATTGCTTCCCTCTTCCCAGAGGGCAGTGGGTCTGCTGCTGAGGCGCGGAGCTGACGCAAATGCACGTGACAAGTTCTGGCAGACGCCTCTGCATGTGGCTGCTGCCAACCGTGCCTCGCGCTGCGCAGAGGCCCTGCTGACCCAGCTGAGCAACGTGAACATGGCAGATCGCAGTGGCAGGACTGCCCTGCACCATGCGGCGCAGAGTGGTTTCCAGGAGGTGAGGCTTAAATGATTTGCTTTGTTTTTGAAGGACATAGTGTTCTCTTTGCAATAAAGTTCCTTCAATTTGTCTTGCAGATGGTTAAGCTGCTGCTGAACAAAGGGTCCAACCTGAGTGCCATCGATAAGAAGGAGAGACAGCCTATCCACTGTGCTGCTTACCTGGGTAAGCAAGTTTTACTTTTCTTGCCAAATAGCACTTACAGGAGTGATGACAAGTGCCGGCCTGGGCTTTTAATCTGTTGAAATAAGTAGAACTTGTAATGAATTGTGTCTTTCTTGTATTATCCACAGGGCATCTAGAGGTTGTGAAGTTACTGGTGTCGCGCAGTGCTGACAAGAGCTGCAAGGACAAACAGGGCTACACACCTCTCCATGCTGCTGCTGCAAGTGGTCACATTGAAATTGTAAAGTACCTGCTTAGGATGGGGGCAGATGTGAGTAACTATGCAAGAAATATTTACCTTTAGAAAAGCCAAAGTAGTCTTCCCTCATGTCTGGTTTATAAATTGTGAGCGTCTGAGAGCAGCTCAGGGTGCACTTTATTTATTTTTCAGGCTTTTGGCACATTCTGATGTCGTTTTGTTCTGTTTTATTGTCAGATTGATGAGCCCAATGGCTTTGGAAACACTGCGCTTCATGTGGCTTGCTACATGGGGCAAGAAGCTGTGGCTACAGAGCTGGTGAACCATGGAGCTAATGTTAACCAACCCAACAAGTGTGGCTACACCCCTCTGCACCTGGCTGCCGTCTCCACCAACGGTGCCCTCTGTCTGGAGTTGCTGGTCAACAATGGGGCAGATGTCAACCAGCAGGTAGCTGTTTTGGTTCTTCTTCTTGTTTACTTTATTTCACTGCTTCTGAAAGTAGTGAAACTCCACATTTTTATTAAGGGCAGCTTTGCAAGAGTCAGAGTTGGAATAGTTGTAGATGGGTTGATCAGATTATTCGATCCTTTGGCCATTCTGACAACATAAACAAATATTAAGAAAAAAAAGAACCAAACGAAATCCAGGTCCCAAGGTTTCATTTACCATTTATGATTTCTCAGTTTCTAGTTTACAGTGCCTTAATAAGAATATTACTGCACATTTTTGTTGAAGAAAATTATCAAACAAAAATCTATAGGTGCCTTTATCCCAGTGCCAGAGTGCACCGGCCCAGGTTTAAGTCTGGGCTGTCTTCCCTCTTTCTCTCTTGCTCTCTACTTTTCTGTCTATCTTCACTGCTCCACTATCTAAAAAGGCAAAAATGCCCCCCATGCATAAGATCTACCCTGAAATGTGTTTGTTACCCCCTGCAGAGCAAAGAAGGGAAGAGCCCCCTGCACATGGCAGCCATTCACGGACGCTTTACACGCTCTCAGATCCTCATCCAAAATGGTAACACAGAGTGTCCGGTCTCGTATTTATTTTTATTTTAATATAAGATCATGTCACTGTCTCTCTCTTTCTCTTCTGTTAATGGGTCTTTGATTTACTCCCTGTACTCTGATGTCCGTCAGGTGGGGAAATTGATTGTGTGGATAAGTATGG